TTGGGAGCTCTCAGCTCACCAAGGTTGAAGTAAACTCGGTTGTGGTGCTTAATTCCTGAGTCGGCCTCAACATGTGTTCAGTGGTGAAGGCATTTTGAATTACTGAAAAGCCAGGTTCTTTACACATTGCCCTTGAAAAGAGTGTCATTGTCTTGCGAACGTACGTTTGATGTGAGCATCGGTCGATACTGCTATTTGTTTTGTTTCGTCGAACTCGACCCGGGTCCTGGAGGACTGGTTTCGGGGCTTCCCAGCGCCAGAAGTTGAAGCAAACCTGGCTACCATGGCGTGGCTCATTCGAGATGTGCAGAATCATCAACTGAGGAAGTCCGCGCTTACGCTGCAGAACACACGCAAATAGAACGCTAGTGCGGGTCGTGCAAGATTTACAACATATGAGGAGGCGTGGAACTAGGACAACTGTTCGGGGCTATATTGCAGCCAGCATTTCGAATACTCACGTTTGCGCGTATGCTAAACGCCGTTCCAGGACAAGGAACGTATCTAGAGTTGCTCGACTCTTCGAAATCTCGTTCTTGAAATGATTCGACGATTCAGAGACGTCCCTGCTGTGGTATTTGTGCGCACGAGCGCATACCATATTCAACGCGACCTCCAAGCGTACGAACACAATAAATTGCATGCTTACACACATTCATGCCTATAATATACGTACATGTCCAATGACATTCGCGGAACAATGTACGCCGCATGATTCGCGTACCATGCGCAGCCCATGAATGCGCGAACCCCACGCCATCATCGGAGCATCATCGATGTTGTTGCGCCCATGAGTTCGTGCACCGTTTGAGTCCACATCCCAACATCACCCGTGTGACCATGACAACAAACCAGGCACGCCATATATGTTGGTCCTTTTAGTCCGACCGCATTCGGGAGACAAGCTGTGTTGTTTGTCGTCATCTTATCTATCTCACGTTGTCGTCATGCTCGTCCGCCTCGTTTTCTTCCTGTTTCTGCTTTCTCTCTCTCTCTCTCTTTTGTTATCCTTCCCCTCGCGCTCCGCGGTCTTTGTAGTTCTCGGCCCACATTCCCTCGCGCCCCCCCCGGCGGGCGCCTTATGCAGGCGCTCCTTCAGGCGGCCAATGAGGGAACGGACGAGCTCCTTATTCGAGGCCTACGAGCCGCGCTCCACGAGCGGCTCGTAGGCAAACCTCTCCCCTCGCTCGCGGCCCTCGGCGCCTCATCTGCGGGGCCACCGTGGTCTACTCGGGCTGGCCCCAGCGGCGGTGGGCAGTGCCCCCCTGCCGCTCGGGGCCAGGCCTGCCCCACCGCCTGCCAGGGGCTGGTGGTGGCCCGGAGCAGCGGGGTCACCCCCTCGCTGCTCTCCTCGGCGGTGGCCCCGCTCGGCGCCACGGCCCTCCGCAGCCTCCTCTGCGGGGGCTGCTGCACCACTGGGCCCCCGCGCCCCGGCGGGGGCCGCTCGCCTCTCCCCGCGCGCGGCCCGCGGCGCGCCCTGGCCTGCGGCCCAGGGATGCGAGCGGAGGAGCGCGCGCTCGGGCCTTGGCTCGGAGCCCGCCACGGGCCGCGCCTCGAGGCTGGCCCTCTCGGGAGGCCCAGTGCCCGCGCTGCCGGCGACGGCAGCCGCTGCCCTGGCAGAGGGGGCGCCCGCTGTCCGCGAGGGCCCCGCGCGGCCCGACCTCCACCCGCTCCGGGCACCGTCGGCCACGAGGTACGGCCGCCGGCGCTCGGACGAGGGCTGGCGGAATCGGAGGGGTCCCCCTGGGCTGGCAGGACCATATCAGGTGGTCGGCCTAGCTGCCCCTGCTCGGCGCCCGCTGAGCACCACCGCGCCTGCGCTGGCTGGTGGTCGACCTGGAGGCCTCGGAGCTGGATCTCGAGGTCCTTCTCCCCGCTGGCCGAGGAGGGCGGAGAAGGGCTCGTGCCGTTTGGGTCCGCCCGCGGCCGCGCATGCTGGCTCGGGGGTCCGTACTCTTCGCGGTGGCAACCTAGCCGTCTGTGGCGCTGCAGCCGCCGAGGGGGAAGAGGCGGCTCCAGACGCCGAGAGGACTACCCCGTATTAGTCAGCGCACGGGTTCGGCCACGACGACGCCGACGGCCCCCCCTCCCCTTCTGGCGCGGGCTCCTCCGCCTCCGGCAGTGCCACAGCGCTGGCGCGGAGCAGCCAGCCTTAAGCCAAGGCCCGCCCTCGGGCAGCGGGAGCCGTCGCCGCTGCCCTGGACGAGGGAGCGCCGATGACCCGTGCAGCCAGTTGGAGCTCCGTCGCCTGCTGGCCGTGCAACTGGCCCAGGCGGTGGCTCCCCCCCTGGGGGTTCACGCCGACCTGCGCGGAGCCCGACTCGAGGCGCCGCAGCTGTTCGCCGACGAGGCGGCGCGGGTAGGCATTCCCCAGGAAGATCTTGAGGCGATGCTCGCCCAGTCCCCCCCCAGCGCCAAGCCGCGCAGCCACGCCAGCGTCGGCCCTGGTGGCGGCCCGGAGCAAGGGCAGGCCTGGGAGCGCACACCCTCCGCTCCCCCACCGCTTCCCGCCCCTCTTGGACAAGGCCCGACGGGTCTGCCGGCTCAGGCGAGGAGGGCGTCACGGGAGATGGGCCCCGCGTGACCAGCACCCCAGAGTCCATTTTGGATCTGGCGCTGCTGTGCTTGCGGGAATCGCTCCAGCGATCGCATCCGCCACGGGCGGCAGTGCATCATCAGCTGAGAACGCTCAGCAACTCTCTTCATGCGACGGCCCAGCCAGCGGCCAAGGGAGGGCCTGCCGGGTCGACGACGCGCGGCGTCGCGCGCCGCAGGGAATGGCAGCAGGTGCGTGATGGCTTCGCAAGCACACCTGGCTCGCTCTGCGAGTATATCAGGCGTGCCTCGCCTTTTGTTTTTCTGTGCGGCCACCTCATGACGTTCCATTGCGCTCCGCGAGTGTGGCGCAATGGCATCGCAAGCTTGCCACCAGCAGTGTTATCTTGCTTGCCGACAAGCGCACGTGGTTTTCCCCACCGCCCTTTGGTTGGGTGTTCGTTTTCGCTGCTGGTCTCATTCCTCCTTCCTCGCCGTCCTCCTCACACACCTCGCAGAACTCTATCGCGCCTGGTCAACATCTTAGCAAAATCAGCTCCCGACGGCAGTCATGAGCAGGGACCACTGCTTTGAAATCTGACCTCGGGAAGAGGGGGGGAAAGGGAACAAAGGGCATGGAAGAGAGGGGAACAAGACTGGCCCAGACGGTGGTTGAGCCCACTGAGGTGTGGACGTTCCCGCACTATCTCCGCATTCCGCGCAAGAGAACAATAATAGGGAAATAACAAGTGGCATAAACCTAAAAACTCGGAGGTCCGCGCGGATTTCTCGGATCGGCGCTGGGGCCCTGGCGCGCTCTGCGCGCCAGGGAGGGGGGGGGGTCCAGCGCCGATCCGAGAAATCCGCGCGGACCTCCGAGATTTTAGGTTTATGCAACTTCTTGTTCCCCTGACCAGGGAACCTGGGGCACCCTGGAGGCGAGCAGGGTCTCCAGGAGGAGGAGGAGGAGGAGGAGGAGGAGGAGGAGGAGGAGGAGGAGGAGGAGGAGGAGGAGGAGGAGGAGGAGGAGGAGATGGAGGAGGGAGGAGGAGGAGGAGGAGGAGGAGGAGGAGGAGGAGGAGGAGATGGACAGCGTCGGGAGCGCCGGGGGAGCCCTCGGGGGGGAGCTCGCCGGGCGCAGCGGCGGCCGCTGCGCGCCTCGGGCTCCGCCTCCCTCCGCGGAGCTCCCGGGACTTCCGCGAGCCTGCTGCGGCGGAGAGAGAACAAATGCTTCGTTCCCCCAAATCAGCTGGGTCGGGGGTGGACAGAACCCCCAGTAGTGACACGTCGGTTAGTGAATTGTCCCTTTTCGGTTCTCGAGAGGGCGCCGTGGCCGTTATTTCCCAGGCCTGCGCCCGCCAGGTGTGGGCCTCAGGTCGTTTCCACTAAACCACGTTTTGTTAAAGGGAGGTTTGTCCATCCCCGAATGGGCAGCTCTTGGAGGGCCGAGCGCTCCAAGACAACCCCACGGGAATTCCGGAGGCCCCCGCGAAGGCCGCAGGGGACCCCTACGGAGATCTTCCAGAAGGCCAAGACTGCTCAGAGGCGCCCGCGGCGGCTGCCGTAGCCATTTGGGCTCGAGCCTGTATGTGTTTGGCTTCAGATCGACCGAAACTGCGATCTCATATCGTACCCGTCCTCGTGTTCGTCACGAAAAACGACTCTCTACACAGCAATGCGTATCATCGTTAGCGTGACAATGCAGTTGGTGCTATTGTCCTTTCGGTCAGCTGACAGCCTTCGAGTGGAAGGCGCACTTTTGAAAAAGAACCGCTCGTCATGGACACAGCTTCGCCCGCATTTGATGAGCAGTGTCTTCACAGCAAGCGAGCAGTGCCAGATCTCAAAACTTCATGCGCGCACGGATTCAACCATTGCATGCGAGACCATGACCGAGAGTAAGCGAGATCAGCTATTGCAACGCAACCGATGTTTCGTTTCCGGGATGACTCCGCAGTGCAGTGGATCCGGTAATGTCGAACAGCAGACCCTCCGTTGGGATGGTGCACAACGTGGACCGAATTCTAAGCCATCTACATTTCTGGATGTGCTGCAGCGCCTCCCAGGCGGCACAAACACAATCCTTTTCCTAGGCGATTCAACTATGGGTCAGGTGTTCCAGGAATCGATATGCAGTCTGGTGCGTCATCTTCCGGAGCATTTACTTGATAATCTGACAATGTACGAGGGTGCGACTGGACCGTCCACGGAAGTGAACCAGATCGGAGCAGCAGGGGGTCAACAATGAGTAGGAGAACAGGTGTCAGGAAAACAGGTGACAATATTCTGGGCAACCTGAGTTCCAATTCTTGGCAGAGACCTGCTCGTCGTATTCCGGCGGCATGAAGAGATGTGCTCGTCGTGTTCCGTGCTTGATACTGGTTATGAACCCGCCATCAGGTCAATGATTGAGACGATTTGGAGACTACCAGGAGGCGTTCTTACTGTGGCCACTCAGGGGTTTCATGAAATTTGAGGAGACTCTGCCTCCTATTCTTGAGCTGTTGCAGTTCTCTGGTCAGAGGGCCAAGTCGAGGAGCCTGTTCTTGGAACCCCAGGCGACGCATTTTCCCCACATGGGCGGGCTGTACGACGACACGCTTCCACAGGCTCGCAGCTTCCCGACGGGGCCCAACGGCTGCCGCCCTGATGTTTCGACCGACGCTGAGTTTGCCAACTATTACGGGAGCATCCTGCACAGAGTATTCCAGATTTCGTAATAAAGGGAGGGGGGTCTCATTTCGGGGGGGGTCTCTTCCAGGCTATCTTGGAGGGCCTGGGGGGGTCTGGGGACGATGTTTTGGAGGGTTCTCCCACGGGGGGGGGTCTGAAATGGCTTGTCTTGGAGGGTCCAGGCCCCCTCCCTTTTATTACGAACTCTGGAGTACTTGCGACGCACAAGTTCCCAACCGTCACACCGCTGCCATTTTGGGAAAGAAGCGAGCGCGAGGGGTGCTGCCCTCCGCGGGCTAGAAGAATCTGGCCTGGACTGCCTCCACAATGGCCCTGACGCGTTGCTCCTGGAGCCCGTCTGGGAGGGCACTCCCAAATCCATCCCACGTCAAGAAAGTTGGACCAGCTGCCTAAGGATTTGCCGCTCTTGCAGGACGAACAGGGGGTGATGACCACCATCGCATGTTTTTTCTTCGTTCGTCCACGGCAGGCTTGTAGGCTTTGGCGCGTGCGCACCGTGGTGCGCGTGCGGTCTGTGAGTAAATTCGGGCAAACTTCGAACCTTTTGCATTGGATCCAGGCGTAGTGTGGGCCCTCTGAGCGCTGGGCCACTTCTCGCGTCGAAAACATGATCGACCCACGAACCCGGAAAGGAGTATCTAAAGGCTGCCGCCTCTGCCGCCGACCCCAAATCGGGGCGATGCGTTTAGGTTTGAGCTGCTCTGGTGTTCAGAGCTTGCTTGGCGTCGCCGAGGCCGCCATTGCTGTTGCGGTTGCTCTCGCCACGGGTTGTGCAAGATGTCAAGAAGTTAGAAAGTTGGCACGCCGCGCATCTCTGTGGCAAGACCACAGGTGGGCGGATTATGTACTGAAAATGCCCCGCGACAACGCGTGGATAGATTTCAGGATTCTTGGGGCAGGTTCCGTCATCCGAATCGCGAGGAGAGGGGAAGATGAAAAGCAGGAAAGACAACAGCATGGGGGAGGCAGCGTTCAACGGGTCGTTCTGGAGGCTGGCATCTCGGTGTCCGGTAGGATCGTTATGAAGGCCTTTTGGGGCCCTTTGGGCCCGTTTTGAGTTTTTCGTGGGCTCGAAAAAGTCGCGCGGGAAGACGTAGGGGTTCCCAGATGTACGTCGGGAAGCTCAGGGGGCACGTGCCACGTACACGCAGATTTTCAGGTTTGGGGTCCGGTTCCATGCGGAATCTTTGGCCCAGGCGGCCCCTGAGCCCAAGCCCGCCCCAGATTGCATGTGGGCTGCTATTGGGGCATCTGGAAGAGGGAGGGGTTGGAAGAGAAACCGCTCCAGACCACCTACGTCCAGAGGGCTGGCGGGAATCATGAACGGCCGACGTGGCTGAGCTTGGAAACACTTCGTCGCGGTTCCGCAACTGTCGACGCCTTTCAGCAGACACAAATCTGAACACATTCGCATGCCACCGTATACCGTGACCGATCTGAACGCAGAGTTTGGCGGATGTGGCGCAAGCCTGCTGGTAAGTTGAACAGCGCGGGAGGCACGAACGACACGGATCACGCGGGGGTGCTGGTTCAGCGATGCACAACCCGTGGGGGTAGTGAGGTTATTGTGCACATTGTTTGTGTGTTGTACATGTTTCAGGTATGCCCACTATAATGTGTTAGAGTTGCACGCGCATGTATCCCTGCATGCGTGCACAAACGCATATGGTAGTGTCAGGCCACCAGTCGAGAGTTGTCACTTCTCGCTGCCCTCAGCGGCCTCTGAGCTTGTGTGACTTGGCACCCGATCAATGCATAGGTCGAGGGCACTGCGCCGCCTCCTGGACTGAGCCGAGTAATGATTTAAAACCATGTGTGACAGGGTCAGGTCCAGTCATTTCGTTGTTTTGTGTCGTTAATATGCATTTGTGTATTGCGGGCTCGTGCACATAAGTATCACGTCCAAGCACCACGTCACTACGCGGTGAAATCGTTGAAACGTCAAGATCAGTCAAGATCAGCCAGGCCCGTCTGTTGCCTCTGGATCCAAGTGTGGGCTCGGAGCGGTGCAAGAAAGTTGTACAATCGAGTATGCTTCAACCAACGCCGATAGCGATATGTATCAGTTGTATGAGACCCACCACTTCCCAGATTGCCTTGGCCAGGCCGCCCTGAAATATCTGACGAGTTTGGTCGTCCCCGTGAGGTTATGGATTATGGGTAATTTCGGTCCAGCGAAAACAACTCCGAAGTAAGCTCTGGGATCGTGCCCTCTGCGCGCATGGCGGAAACTGTTTTCTAACACCCGTCCAGGAGCCTCCGAAACTCCGCGTTTCCATGCATTCGGGCTCGAGGCCGTGCCCCATAGGGTTATGGGGCGCGGCCTCGCGCGCGAATAGAGCAACGTCGTGTTTCGGAGTCTCCTGGAGCGGCACTGTGAGCAGAAGGCACTGTCCAGTGGCGGCTGCCGCGCCGGGCTCGGCGGGCTCGGCCGAGGGGCAGCCGCACACGCTCTACTCCAGCGGCGCTCCTGGCGAAGCTAGGACCGGCCGCCGCGCGCAGGGGGAGCTCAGAGCGGCGGCATGGGAGGGGAGGGGGCAGGAGGATGTCGGAAGGTGAGCGGGAGGTGATGTGGAGGAGGAAGCTGCGAGGACAGGTGGAAGGAGAGTGAACGTGGGCACTGGAAAGCGAGGGGCGGGGGAGTAAGGAGAGGGTTTGGGCGAGCATGAGGGCGGGGGTAAGAGGGGGAGGGAATCGGAAGTTAGGGGGTGAGATCGAAGTGAAACGGAGACCCCACACACACACACACACACACACACACACACACACACACACACACACACACACACACACACACACACACACACACACACACACACACACACACAGAAATCGGTTTCGGTTTCGTTTCGTGTCGCGCGTGTGGACGAGGCGAAGCTGCGTGGGCGGGCGAGCGGACTGAACCCGCTGTGGCTAGGCGAAACCGGGTCAAATGTTGCTCTGCCCCCCGACTGGCTAACGGTGACCCAGGGTTGTCTCGATGGTGTTCCGATGATATCCTCATGGTGTCCACATGGTGTCCACATGGTGTCCACATGATGTCCACATGGTGTCCATATGGTATCCACATGGTGTCCACATGGTGTCCACATGGTGTCCACATGGTGTCCACATCATATCCCGATGGTGTCCAGATGGGTGTCCCGATGGTGGTCCGATGGTGTCCCGATGGTGTCCAGATGGTGTCCCAATGGTGACCAGATGGTTTTCCCGATGGTGGTCCGATGGTGTTCCCGTGGTGTCCCGATGGTGTCCGCATGATACCCCCATGGTGTCCCGTCGGTGTCCCGATGGTGTCCCCACGGTGTCCCCATGGTGCCCCGATGTTGCCCCTATGGTGTCCCCATGGTTTCCCCATGGTGGCCCCCATGGTGTCCCGATGGTGTCCCCATGTTTTCCCCATGGTGGACCCATGGTGTCCAGATGGTGTCCCGCTGGTGCCCTGATGGTTGTCCCGTGAAGCCGATCGATTGATACGCAGATGCCTATACGACCACCCTTCGGGTGATAAGGAGGCTGGGGGGGAAAAAAACAGCTGACGACAACTGCGATGGCTGCGACGATGACGATGCTGGTGGTGCGCCCTCGAGTTGGCGACGACGCGGACGATGTTGCGTCGCGATGTTACCCCGCTCTCGACCCCGCTCGATCGACCTCACCATCGATCGATCTCACCATCGACCTCACCGCCAATCCCACCGTCGATCTCACTATCCCGTGGCCGGTGGTGCTCACATTGAAGACAGTTTGGCGTATCGGGCTCTATGCGACCCCCCCCAAGTCAGTCACCCTATGGACATCACCAGGACATCATCGATACACCATCGAACCACCACACAGGACACCGACGGGACACCCGCGGGACACCGACGGGACACCGACGGGACACCGCGGGACACCGTGGGGACACCAATGGATCTCAGTATCGATCTCAATATCGATCTCACTATCGATCTCCCTCTCGGCTTCACTATCGCTCTTATCTCACTATCGATCTCTCTATCGATCTCACTATCTCGGACACCGACGGGACACCGACGGGACACCACAGGGACACCGCCAGGACACCGCTGGGACACCCACGGGGACACCCACGGGACACCGACGGGACACCGACGGGACACTGCGGCGGGACACCGCCCAGAGCCGCCCGCCCACCGGGGAGCGGATCGGTCGACGGGTCTTGTCCCGCCCGCCCACGCAGCTTCGCCGCGCCCGCGATGTGACCCCGCTCTCGACCCCACTCGATCGACCTCACCATCGATCGATTTCACTATCGACCTCACGGCCAATCCCACCGTCGATCTCACTATCCCGTGGCCGGTGGTGCTCACACTGAGAACAGTTTGGCGTATCGGGCTCTCTGCGACCACCCCCCAAGTCACCCTATGGACATCACCAGGACGCCACTGAGACACTACAGAAACACCACACAGGACACCATAAGGACACCGGTCGGGACACCATCGGAGCAACATTTTCAATATCGATTTGAGCATCGGTCTCACTACCGATCTCACCATCGATCTCACCACGAGACACCACAGGACACCGACGGGACTTCGACGGGACACCCGCGAATCACCGACGGGACACCGACGGGACACAAGGGGACACCATGGGGACACCAATGCATCTCATTATCGATCTCGGTATCGGTCTCAATTGATATCACCACTATCGATTTCGCGATCGCTCTTATCTTATTCTCGATCTCCAGATTGATCTCACCACCGATCTCACTATTGATTTCACTATCGATCTCGCCACGGGACACCCACAGGACACCGACGGGATACCGATGGGACACCAACGGGACACCGAGGGGACACCGACGGGGCACCAATGGGACACCGACGGGGCACCGACGGGACACCGACGGGATAACGACGGGACCGCGGTGGGACACCACCCGGAACCGCCCGCCCACCGGGGGTCGGATCGGTCAACGGCTCTTGCTCCGCCCTGGCCACAGCGGAGTCGTTCCTCTCGCCCGCCCACGCAGCTCCGCCGCGCCCGCACGCACGACACGAACCCGAAACCGATTTCCGGGTGGGTGTCTCTCCGTTCCTCGTGGGTCTCACTCCTCGACCTCTGACTGATAGGGTGTAGGTAGCGAGATTAATGGTGGAATCCATCGATGAACAGACTCTGTGATCCGCCGTGAGACCGATGGATCGATGTTGAGACCGATAGTGATACCCATCTGGGCACCCTCCGAGTGAGAAGGAGCTTTGTGAGGGAAGCCAATGGACGACAATGGCGATGGCTGCGATGATGACGATGCTGGTGGAGCACCCTCGAGTTGGCAACGAC